AAATGAATCATTGGATTCTTTATCTGTATCAACTCTTCTTTTTACAGTATTATTATTTATTTATTTTAACACATAGATATTGGTACAAGGAGGCACCAAATACATAGGAGCCACAAAAATCTCATTCAATATATGTGAGGGCTGTGATACTGTCCGGGTGCCCAAAACGAAGCAGGTGGTTTTCTTAGGGGGCCACTCCCCGAGCCTTCGACCTGAAGGTCTGATCCACAAGGCAGTGGAGCATCGTGAGGAGATGCAGTCCCGTGGTAGCCGGTGACCAACGTTTGGTTCATACGCCATTTGTTCCCGGAGGATACTGGAAACCATGTGCACCAATGGTTTGGAATCTGGTTAAATCATCGGAGGGTAATTTTACATTGGTTTTCAGGAGAACCAGACACCATCCGGACTTTCACGTAAAAACCCAAACAGTGCAGCTCAACCCCGTTTAGCAGAGGAACCAGACACCGTACAGGCCTTAACGCTACAATCTGAATAGTACAGCTCAATCCTGTGGCGCAACCACACAGGTACCAAGAACCCTGGTGGACCAATGGTGCACATGGGCTCCAGTATCCTGCGGGAACAAATGGCGTATGAACCAATCTTTGGTCACCGGCTACCATGGGATTGCATCTCCTTACGATGCTCCACTGCCTTGTGGGTTAGACCTTTAGGTCAAAGGCTCGGGGAGTGGCCCCCTAAGATAACCACCTGCTTCGGTTTGGGCACCCGGCAGTATCACAGCCCACACACAAACGATGAACTCTATGTCTTTGGCAACTACTTTTATCGCTCCGAAAAACAATCAGTCGATTCAAATAATTATCATTACTATTATTGTCATTATTAATACTATTATTATTACTATTATTGTCGTTATTATTATTATTATTATTATTATTATTACTATTATTGTCGTTATTATTATTATTATTATTATTATTATTATTATTATTATTATTATTATTATTATTATTTCCCACATTATTCACCCTCTTTTATACTTATACAGCGGCTCGTCTTTGGTGGAAATCCGACTGTATCTAAACGTTCTCGAGTCACTGTCCGGTTGAAAGTTGTATGTTACCACCGAATACGAGAACTGAAGCAGTTTTTTTGAAACGAGGAGGAAGTCCGCAAGGAACAACTCTTGAAGCGTTACAAATCACCTGGCCCAGATGACTTACCTCCGGCTCTTTTTAAAGATGGTGGTGACTTTTTGACTAAGGAATTGACGACGTTGTTTACAAAGGTTTGGGAACTAGAGAGTGTGCCAACGTCATGGAATGAGTCGATAGTTGTCCCTATCTTTAAAAAGGGTTCACGTCGTTCCTGTAACAACTATCGGGGGATAAGTCTACTTCCGATTGCGTCCAAGCTATTGGCTTCCGTCATACTTCGTAGGTGTTTCAAAACCCGAGAAAGATTGACTCGCGAGGAGCAGGCTGGGTTTCGTTCTGGTCGAGGATGTATTGATCATATCTTCACCCTCCGCCAAATGTTAGAACACCGCCACACTTATCAAAGGCCAACAATCGTAGTGTTTCTTGACATCAGGGCTGCCTTCGATTCGTTGGACAGAACTGTTCTCTGGGATTGTCTATTGAAGAAGGGTGTGCTTGAGAAGTTTATTAACATCCTAAAAGCCCTATATAAAAACACCTCAGGCAGAGTGAGGGCATACAACCACCTCTCTCCATTGTTCCATTCGAGCAGTGGGGTTAGGCAGGGTTGCCCAATCTCACCATTCCTCTTCAACTTTGCCATCGATGACATTCTGGAAACAGCTCTGATGAATGTAAGTGATGGTGGTGTGGATCTGTTGCCTGGAGAAAGACTTCTCGACCTTGAGTATGCGGATGATATTGTCTTACTGTGCGATAATCCCCAAGGCATGCAATCCGCACTTAATTAGTTGGCAATCAGTGTCCGTAGGTATGGTATGTGCTTTGCACCTTCGAAGTGCAAAGTACTCCTACAAGACTGGCAGGATTCCAATCCTGTACTCACCCTGGATGGTGAGCAGATAGACGTAGTCGAGAAGTTCGTGTATCTGGGTAGCTGCATAAGTGCTGGTGGGGGTGTGAGTGATTTGATCAATGCACGTATAGTGAAAGCCAGAGCGGTTTATGCCAATCTGGGCCATCTATGGCGCCTTCGTGATGTTAGTCTGGCCGTAAAAGGTCGGATCTACAACGCGTCGGTGAGAGCAGTTTTGCTCTATGCTTGTGAAACCTGGCCTCTCCGAGTTGAGGATGTTAGACGACTCTCAGTGTTTGATCATCGCTGTCTCCGAAGGATTGCTGACATCGAGTGGCAACACCATGTCAATAATGCAGAGGTTCGGCATCGTGTGTTCGGGCACAGAGATGATAACTCAATTGGTGTCACCATCTTGAAACACCGACTTCGGTGGCTTGGACATGTTCTCCGAATGTCGTCGCAGAGAATTCCACGTCGTGCATTATTTGCCGACTCTGGGACTGGTTGGAAGAAGCGGAGAGGTGGTCAGTGCATGACATCGTGTCGTGGCATGAAAGAAAGCTGCAAAGGACTGGCTTGTGTTGGTCCTTCACGACTCCCTGGTTGGGGTCTGAGAGATGGTGCTACACAGTGACTAGAGACGTTATCAGATATGGCTCAGAATAGAAGCCAGTGGCGATCCTGCTGTAACCTTCTTTTACTTTCTTCATAAAAAGTGGTTCTGTCTCCCTTACCTGAAAGATTTCTTCCGATTGTACCTTTGCGTTCCCTGATTACTAGCACATTACCTTACACCAATCTCTTCGTTATTGTTCTCTCTTTTTTTTGTTGCGCTCCTTAGCTTTTTTTTTCTTTCTTTGTATTCCTCTCGAATTTTCATAGTTTTGTGTGGCGCATATATATTGGCGCTCTCCTGTACCAATATTCATGTGTCCAAATAAATAAATAAATCATCGGACATTTGCTTTTCGTCCTCTCATTCTCGTAAACAACACCCGTGGTACGAGAAGGCAGTGAGTAGGACTTCCCTGCCAGAGGCTACATACGCGTGGCCATGTGAGAGCATTTCTAGAGGGAGAACGGACTCCTCACTCTTGGCCGTATCAGGGCATTTGGGGGCCTTTTTACAATATAAGTTTCTGTAAAACATTATTTATATCATTTGATAACAATAGACAGAGTATGTACTAGGTTTTTCTAGAAAAAATATAGATTGTATCTCAGTACTTACTATCGTATAAGATGTATTAAATCATGGCCCTCAAATGCCCTGGTACGACCGATAGTGGGGAGCTTCCACTCTCTCTCGAAATGCCCTCACATGGCCACGTGCATACAACCACTGTCAGGGAAGTCCTACACACTACCTTTTCGCGGCATTACTGTTGTTTACGAAATTGAGAGGACGAAAAGCAAATGTCCGATGCTTTAAACGGGTTGGTGGACACGAAGAGTCCACCTAGTAGAGTAGGAAAACCTTGATTTCAAACCAATAGTGCACATGGGGTCCAGTATCCTGAGGGAACAAATGGCGCATGGACCAATCGTTTGTCACCGACTACCATGGGACTGGATTTCCTTGCATTGCTCCACTGCCTTGTGGATTAGGCCTTCAGGTGAAAGGCTCCGGGTGTGGCTCCCTAAGAAAACCACTTGCTCTTGGGCATTATCACAGCTCTCACACAAATCAAATTAGATTTGTGTGGCGCATATGTATCTGGTGCCCCCTTGTGCCAATATCTGTGTTCAAATAAATAAATAAGTCATAAACTATAAAATCATAATTATTTACATCTTAAAAGTTATTGAAGAGCTTTTGGTAATATCATTCCTAGACCATAGTGCTATAGTATAATTCGGAAGTAGTGAAGTACGCAATATATGATGGGTATGGCTAGCTATTCTTCTTTTGGTTGTTGTTTTATGTCTTCATTTCATGTTAGCAACTATAAAACACAAATCTAGCGCTTCTGTGGCGTGCGGTGTTTGAGTGTGATACTGATACACAGTCTTCTTAAGAATGGCCTCAACTGACTGCTCGAATTAAAAGACAATTAGAAAAGTAGTTTATTGACGAAGCGAATCGACTGTATGTGCACTCGTATATATATACATCCTTAAAAAATTAAGCTACTGATGTATGTTTCACTTCTTATGAATGAAACCTGTTTATAGGCCAGTCACGCGCACTTATTTATGTAAACACATAAACATTGGTACAGGGAGGCACCAAACGATCCAATAGATTCCTGTGGGGTCTCGGATACTGTCCGGGTGCCCAAACCAGAGCGGGTGGTTATCTTAGGGGGCCACACCCTGGGCCTTCGACCTAAAGGTCTGATCCACGAGACAGTGGAGCAACGTCAGGAGACAGTCCCATGGTAGTCGGTGACAAACGATTGGTCCATGCGCCATTTGTTCCCTCAGGATACTGGACCCCATGTGCACTATTGGTTTGAAATCAAGGTTTTCCTACTCTACTAGGTGGACTCTTCGTGTCCACCAACCCGTTTAAAGCATCGGACATTTGCTTTTCGTCCTCTCAATTTCGTAAACAACAGTAATGCCGCGAAAAGGTAGTGTGTAGGACTTCCCTGACAGTGGTTGTATGCACGTGGCCATGTGAGGGCATTTCGAGAGAGAGTGGAAGCTCCCCACTATCGGTCGTACTAGGGTATTAGGGGAGTGGCAATCACGCGCATTTATCATTTGGCTAATTTCTGACTAGTTCAATGTACCATCTTTCAATTTTGACAAATCAGAATAGGTTCTTGGATTTAGCTGGTGTTAAGATGGGAGCATATTCTCCTCATTCTGTTGATTTTTCTAATCATTCATTACCAAGTATAAGTATATTTTTAAAGAAGATAATTGAATTCGTTCAATATATCACTTTATTGCTGTATACAAATAGTCAATATACAATATTAATGGAAATCTTAAAAGAAAAGTGATATGTTTCTAGAAAAATAATGTTTACAATCTTAAAAATAAAAGAAAGTAGGCATAAAATATCACATTATATTATAGTCAGATTCTGGTAGACAGATACGCTTTTTTATACTTTGCCAAATCCATGATGCAGATAATTGAAAACAATTCTGAAAGTAAAGAAGTAAACAACAACAATAAAAAATCTGGTCATTTAAATATGATGCTTTTAAGTAATCTATCAACATATCTTTGAATCAAACAAGTCATTTATTGATATATAAAATAGGTATGAGTCTAAGTCAGTCAGTCAGTAACAGCGTAGAACTTCGTACGTACGTACATCAGTTCGAGTTGCCACACCATATTATCTCAGAGATGCAGTTGTTGAGGTAGCAAGAGTATAAGCAGTAGTCGGAAAGACTAGGGATTGAAGATGTTATTCAAGGAGTATAATCCAGTGAAATAAATTTGGAGAGAGAAGGAAAATTTGGGAGAACACAAAGAGTAGATGCACCTGCTCTATTGTAAACGATTTTGGGTCATGTCGTTCAAGGTCTCTAATCATCGGTTGCTATCGTCTCGCGGATCCCAACCAGGCAGTCTACACCTACCAACATGACTCAGTCCACTTGTCAGTGACTTCATGGACTTGTGCCATGTTTTGGTCTGGCCGCCCCTAGCTTTCTTCCAATCTACTCCTATACAACAAAACATCGCACATCAAGGCAGTCGGTTGTTGGGCCTACGTAACACATGTCCCAGCCATCTCAACTGATGAAGTTTCACTACTTCATCAATTGATTTGCCATCCTTACCTAGTACCCGTTTCCTAACAACTGCATTACTTACTGGATGGACCCAGGATATAAGAGCAATATTTCGAAGACACCTATGATCAAATACTAGTAACCTACGAATATCCTCTACTCTTACCGGTGATGTTTCACTGCCATAAAGTAGTACGGAACGAACTGCTGCACAGTAAACACGTCCTTTGGTTGATAGACGGATATCTCGCCTACGCCATAAATGATGCAAGTTGGTAAAAGCTAATCGAGCCTTCTGTATCCGTGCTGAGATTTCGTCACATACCAGACCACAAGGGCTCATGAGACTTCTAAGATAAGTGAAGCGGTCGACACGTTCAACTACTTCACTCTCTATCATTGGCTCGGGTGTCAATGCAACCCAATTCTGAAGCAACATTTTGCATTTCGGGGGAGAGAATCGCATTCCGAACATGCTTGCATTTTGTCAGCGTCCTCACCAAATAGAACTGTGTCATCGGTATATTCTAAGTTAGCAAGTGGATCTCCGGGTAGAAGTTCAATCCCTGGAAATTCAGATGAGGAAAGTGTTATCTCTAAAAGCACGTCTACAATAAAGTTAAACAAGGATGGAGAGAGTGGGTAGCCCTGACGAACACCATCAATTTTGAGTGAGTCTAAGTACAGTATATGTAACCTGTTTGGTAAATAATGCGGATTGAAATCTAGAAGGATTTATATTACAAAATTTGATGTGTGAGTGTAGACCGTATTTCCTTTCAATGTACTCTTTATTCGTGGCAAAACATTTGATCTCTAGTCTCGAAGTCGCCAGAATTCAGATGAGATATCGTATTGGCAGAACAATGGTTCATCACCAATGGTGACTCTTTTAAGGGAACCGAGGAATTAGGTAGGACTATTTTATTCTATACAATGTGTCTTTTTCAACTTTTGGTCAAAAGTCGACAACGTTGGATGATGTTTATACACATCTTCCTTAATTTCAGATGTTTTGCTAGAAAATTATATGGGTAAATGACTCCCGAATTCAGTTTATCAATAATCAGTAAATTATACAAAAGATCAGACAACCCAAACGACCATATGTCTGATGGTTGGCCATAACTAGTAACCTTAATTATGAAGTTGATGTATTAATTAGACAGACTATCCATGTAAAACTCCCGGTTATGAATTTATTCATATACTAATTCAGACACATAAACATTGGTACAAGAAGACACTAAATAGATATGCACCATATAAATCATTCGATTTGTGTGAGGGCTGGGATAATGATAGGGTGCCCAGACCGGAGCAAAAGATTTTCTTAGGGCCCACACCCGGAGCCTTCGACCTAAAAGTTTAGTCCACGAGACAGTGGAGCAACGTCAGGAGATACAGTCCCATGGTAGTCGGTGACCAACGATTGGTTCATACGCTATTTGATCCTTCAGCATACTGGACAACATGTGCACCATTGGTTTGGAATCAGGGTTTTCCTACTCCCCTAGATGGACTCTGCGTGTCCACCAACCCGGTTAAGTCGCTGGACATTTGCTTTTCGTCCTCTCAATTTCGTAAACAACAGTAATGCCGCGAAAAGGTAGTGTGTAGGACTTCCCTGACAGTGGTTGTATGCACGTGGCCATGTGAGAGCATTTCGAGAGAGAGAGAGAGAGAATAAACTCTCCCCGCTCTCGGCCGTACCAGGTCATTTGGGGGCAAAGTGCCTATCGCCCCCGGATGGGCTCGAACCACCAACCTTTCGGTTAACAGCCGAATGTAACAAATGTAACTGTCGTATAAAGAGCACTTACCTCTTTATCGATCGGTTTCATCCTCTGGTTTAATTTACCTGTGTAAATAATATGCGTAACAGATGAGTCTAGGTTGGATACTACAACACCATCATAAGTGAACTAGATTAATCAATAACAATATTGAGTTAAGGGAAGATGAAAGCTATATTCATCGTTAAAAAGTAGAATGAGATTGTATCACTTGTTCGTTTAAAAAAAGGCTAATATTTGGTCAGTCAAAGATGGATAGTGACTAGTAGTGTATTTCAGGACGCGCGTTATGTCCTATTTGGGACTCATCAGCTGAGTGATTATGAAATGTTAAAATTTTCCGGTTTATACACAAACTAAGGTTTATTTTCTAACATCAGTGGTGTTCAATAATGAATTTCAAATACTCTCTGTTGGGATAAGCAACGACTCAGTCATTATTTCGATACAAATTACAGTTACAAGTTTGATTGTGTTTTTGAATTGTGAATACAATTAATTTACGAGGTGCATTTCATCTTAACTGAGACTCATGAGTTGAATGTACCTGGTGTTTATACTGTAACTGGAAATCGGTATCTATCGTTTAAAAGGCGTCCTAAACTTCACTGCTAACTACAATCAAGAAATATAATCTAGAATTTTCACGGAAAGATGACAGTTGAATTGTATAAGCATTTTATCTTAGACTAGAGGAGAATTCAGTAGTTTTAACTGAATCCGATATCATCTAAGGAAATTCACAGAGGCAGACAGTATTACTATAATTTATGAATAGAGTGTGGGTTAACAGCTTAGTTAAGTGAATAAGTAACTATTTTCCACCATAATTATATATCTATTTTAAAAGAAACATTGGTATGAAGGAATTTGTACAAATTTGAGGATTTTAATCGTTTAAATCGTGAAGTGATTTAATCTAGACCATCATTGAGAATCAGAAAACACAGAAGAGCTGTTTCGTCTTAGTATGAAGCACCTAAGCAGTGCACATCTACAACCTTCTCAGAGAGGTTGATTACGAATACAGTGGTCTTGAGTGTAGTTAGAGGTATGAGGGCGGTTATCACTTCCCGGTTGCCCACACCATGGAAGGGTCCTTCTGGAGGTACCTGAAAAAGAAATTGGGTTAGGGATGGTCTTAATGACCTGAGAGCGTGACCCCAGTGTCCAAGGGATAACTGCTTGAGGTCGGCCACACACTAACTTTTTGCGAGTAATTTTCGTGTTAGCTCCGTGCTTGTTGAGACCTTACCGTTGGAGACGGATATCCGTGGAATAAGGCGAAGTGTGCTTTTTTAGGGTCGACCTTTCCTAACCCCACTCCTCGTTGTGGGAAGGCAGCATCACTGTTATGCTGGTTGTCTGAAGGAAACACTACTGCTGTCACACCTCTGTACAGTCAACAGTACGACTTCGCCTTCGAACCCTGGGTTTGCTGCTTTTAGTCTTACCGTCTTCAACCGACCTGTCTGGCATGGTAGGACCTTGAGAGATGATTTTTCCCGCCAGTATAGCTCGATTGGTTCATCACGATAGATAAGCCCGACCACCACGTCAAGGTAGCAACAACAGTTGGGACAACTCCCCTAGGATATTGGATCCACTGAGCTGACATCCAATTGGGTAAATGTCTAATTTCAATCAATTTACGATGTTGTATCACCCTCATCCATTACCTATAGTGGGTAATTATCTCACACTCGAGATAGTTGAATTCCACTAGGTTTGATTTTCGGATGTAGGGTCGTGAGGGCTGTCTATCAAGGAATGTTATACTAAGACGAAACAACCATCTATAGTTTCCAGGTTCTCATTCATGATCCAGCAAATGACAGTTCGTGACCGAAACATTATATCACAAGAAAAAGAGCATAATTTTAATCTCCTCTTAAAGTTAGTTCATACTTATCATTTCGTTTACAATCTAATTTACATTTAAATAATGAACAAATAAAAAGGATATGCAATGATTATTCGTTTTAACTTCTTCACATCACCATCATTGTCATCAACTAAAGAACTGTCAATATAGAATGATTTGCCTGTAAATAAATTATACAAATATTTGGCTGGTTGCATAGTTTCTGTAAAATAAAATAAACAATGATCAAATCATATAAATGTGTATCTAGATGAACAGATTTCTTTTTCAAAAACATTCACTACTATTATGGTGTATACTACTGATGTTGACAGATATAAGTAGTATATGGCACCAATCGAAAGTGAGATGCATGGTGTGGAAACGATGAAAAAAAATCAAGTCTAAGACAATTGATTGACATTTTGCAAATGAAGTATATACTGTATGGTTCTTAGATTTTACAAAGAGATTCTGTAATGTTGTATCGAAATACATTCGCTTGTTCTCACTGGTGTTCTCGTTTAGTATATTTAGTGTCGCTGCCAACCAGAAGGTGGAGAGGTTGTTGTTCTGAGGACGCTGTTGTGTTGATCAAGAAAATAAAGACGCCTTTGAACTGTTAGTGGTGAGACGATAATTTATGAACGACCTTTGAGTGACGCTAGACTGACCATGAGAGTGTCAACCTAATAACCGGTACTAAATGAGGGTTTTAAACCTGTGTGAGGAATTAGAATTATGATTTGCAGTTGGTGATTAAGGTTAAGAATTAGATTTACGGGTTTTCATCACGAATTGACAACAGCTATAATGCCAAAACTATTTAGCCAAATGGATGAGTGAATTTCGCGCCAAAATCTGAGACCTGCGATCTTACACGTGATTGATTCGTTCATAAATTATAGTCTCGCCATAATTTACAGATTGATTAAAACAGAATAAAATTATATGAACAGACTGGAAATTGTCGAGTTAACATGCAAAGAAAAACAATAAAACGATGAGGATAACGGTCGGTTTATGTGTATATCAGTTCAATTTGTCACAATACACTGGGATAGCAAGATGAAGTCAGAACAAACACTAGAGTAGTAGTAGATGTAGTAAGAGTACTGGTGATAATAGAAAATATTAGGTATTTAAGAGACAATTAGAGAAGAAAATATAAACTGGTGATATAAAAGAGAATTTAGAAACATAGGATTTATGCAAAAACAAAAAATGAATGCACCTAGGCCATTGCAAACGATTTTGAGCCTTCTCATAGTCTCGAAGCATGGGTTGAGATAATTACATGGACCCCAACCAGGTCTTCTGCACCAATCTAAGGGGCTAACTCTAATAGTCAATGACTTTGTTAACTGATGCTATGTATTGTTTTGGACGCTCCTAGATTTCTTGCAACCTGTTCTTACCCTAGTCTTTGTTGTGTGTCAAGACAATCGATGGATGCATGTCCCAACCACATTAATTGATAAAGATTCGGCCCCTCGATAATTGACTTTCTACATTTACTTGGTAATCTGCATCTAACCTCAAAACTGTTAACGTGATGGTACCAAAATATACAACAAATGGTTCCAAGATGTCTATGATTGAATGCTTACATCAATGCATACAAGCAACTGTGAACACGGATCTGCTAACATTATGTCTAGTTTATAAATGTGAATAAGAAACCCCAATCTATCCCATGATCTGAGTTTAATTGAACAAACAATGCAAAGACATATAGAGATAATGAAGCCTACAAAGATAATTAGTTATAAGTAAGATCATCAGAACATCTACACATGTAAGATAGTAGTGAAGAACGGTTAGATTTTACAATTATTTGAATGAAACGTTAACTAAGCTAAAGAACAAATGACAAACATTGCAATATCATTAATCTTAGTTAGTTACCTCACTTGAAGCAGAAGTGTATTCACAGTTAAATATAAATTTTTAAGCAACAATAATGAGATCATATATTGTACATTCAGACAAGAAAACTCTTATCAGTATAAGGTTGTGATCATGAACCGATTGATGTTAGACCACCATTGAAAACCTGAAAGCACTGGATGGCCGTTTCGTCCTAGTATAGGACTCATCACCAAAGCGCAACCACGACCCCGCTCACGGGATTCAAACCTAGGCCCTTCAGTCTCGTGCGCGAACGCTTAACCTCTAGACCAATGAGCCGGCATCTAATGGTGTTAATGTCTAACCTCAACTAATCTACGGAATTACGCGACCATCTTCCATTGTACTGGGGTAGATACTTGTCTCTACCCGACATGGATTAGCTCCATTGGTCGCGGCTTCTCACTAGAACTCCGAGAATTGCCTCACGAAGGTAGTCACTAGTGAATACATGGTAATTATCAGTATAGGGTTGTGGAGATTAGTAAATACTATACAATAAAGAAAACAATTTGACTAACCCAGATTTTGATTAAAATTAATTTTGTTTTCTGAAGAGGAGATTTTTCGTTTCAGAGACTTAAAAGGTTCTATTTCAAAATAAATAAATAAAGAGTAAAATACACAGCAAATAATAATAACCAATTTATAATTAGTAATATGAAAAGTGGAAAGAAAAAATCTACTGTCCAATTAAAATCAATATAGTGACAATGGAGATTATAAGTTATCACTGATAAGAAAGTAGAACAGTTACCAACCCAATCTCACTTGATGGAGAAACTCTGGAAGAGGTGGAAAGTTTCACGTATCTGAGAGGCATCATCGATGAACGTGGAAGATCTGATACAGCCATAAAGGCAAGGATTGGTAAAGCAACAACAGCATTCCTACAGTTGATGAACATATGGAACTCAAAACAACTGTCAACCTACATCCAAGTTACAATCTTCAATACGAACGTCAAGACAGTACTGATGTACGGAGCTGAAACTAAGAGAACCACTACAACCATCATCAAAAAGGTACAAGCATTTGTAAACAGTTGTCTACTTAAGATACTCAATATCGCTTCGTCGTATACCATCAGCAACAACCTACTATGGAAGAGAACAAACCAATTTTCAGTTGAAGAGAAAATTAGTAAAAAACAATCGGGGTGGATAGAACATACGTTGTGGAAATCATCAAACTGCATCATCAGGTAAGCGCTTACTTGGAATCCTGAAGGGAAACGGAAAAGAAGAAGACCATAGAACACACTACGTCGGGATGAATAGCAACTGGAAAGGATTGCCCACGACAAAGTTCGATAGAGAATGCTGGTGGGCCGCCCATCATGAGGGGTAGTAGGTGTAAGTAAGTTGTGTTTTTGGTAACCTTCCATCTGTATCTTGAACTAGTCTGATTTTGATCAACTATCATCGTTCAGTTAATAATCTACGTAAGTTGTAACTCTTTCTGATGGGAAAATAATTGTCAACAAGTTTTTGACATGATGCAGATGTGAAGGCGCGGATCGGCAAAGCAAGAGCAGCATATTTACAGCTGAAGAACATCTGGAACTCAAAACAAGTATCTGTCAAGCAACAACCAAGGTCAGAATTCTTAATGTAAATGTCAAGACAGTTCGACTGTATGGGGCGGAAACTTGGAGGACTACGAAAGACATCATCCACAACATACAAGTGTTTATTAACAGCTGTCTACACAAAATACTTCGGATCTGTTGACCAGACACTATCAGCAACAACCTATTGCGGGAGAGAACAAGCCAGATTCCAGTGCAGGAAATCAGGAAGAAGCGTTGGATATGATACACGTTGAGGAGAGTACCCAACTGCGTGACAAGAAAAGCCCTCACTTGGAATCCTCAATACTAAAGGAGAAGAGGAAGACCAAAGAATACATTACGCCGAGGAATGGAGACACATGGGAAAAATGAACAACAATTGGATAGAACTAGAAAGGAAGGCCCAGGACAGAGTGGGTTAGAGAATGTTGGTCAGTAGCCTATGCTCCATTGGGAGTAACAGGGGTAAGTAAGTAACTAATATTGTCATATCATGCTAGAAATGACCTTATTCCTTAACTCATTAAACATGTACCTCCACTAATTTATTATTTTTCATTGTATCTAAAAATGTAAAATGTTCATGTAATGATCAACTATAAAACACTTAAAATGATAAAATATATTAACCTTTAGTTGATGAAGACGAACATGAAGCAGTAAATGTTGTACAGGAACCAGATGAATGATGATTATCTGCATTAACTGGACGATAATAGTATCTTTAATTATATATATGTATATATAAATAGTATATAAAACTAGTTAAGAAATATAGATTACAACAAATATGTTAACATTATAATTTAGGGAATTAATCTGACCAGTTATTGATAGAATGTTTCTAACGAATTAATCGATTTTGTTGTGTTACTAAGTGACTGTATCAAAGCAAATTGATAGTATATATATTTTTTAAAAATCCTCACAGACAGTGAGATCGCTTACAGTTATCATTAGTCTATATATACTTAACTCAGTTATACCTCCCAAATGACCTGGTATGGCCGAGAGTGGGGAGAGTCAGCTCTCTCTCTCTCTCAAAATCCTCTCATATGGACACGTGCATACTACCACTGCTGTCAGGGAAGTCCTACTCACTGCCTTCTCAAAGCATTACTGTTGTTTACGAAATTGAGAGGATGGAAAGCGAATGTTCGACGCTTTAGACGGGTTGGTGAATATGGAGGATCCATTTAGGGGAGTTAGAAAATCCCCATTCAAAACCGATGGTTCACATGCGCTCCAGAATCATGAAGGAACAAATGACATATGAACCTACTGTTGATCGCCAGCTATCATAAGACTACATCATTTAACGTTGCTCCACTGCCTTATGCATTAGACCTTTAGGTCAAAGGCTCCAGATGTGACCCTCTAGGAAAACCACTTGCTTCGGTTTGAGAGCCCTGTCAGTATCCCAGCCCCCACACACAAATTGGATGACTTATTGTGTGGTACTCATGCATTTTGTTGTCCCTTTGTACCAATGTTTATGTGTTTAAATAAATAAATAAGAATTTAATGGCAATGTAAGCAGATAATTACAATAACAAAGAAAAAGGATACACATATACTGAAATATGATGATGATCAACAAGATGTTTTCTTAATAGTCTTTCAATTTTATACCATGTAAATGCTTGAGTTCCATGCCCTAATCGAGGAATATGAACAGAGCCTGCAAAATGAAAAAAATTAGTCAAATAGGAAATCTAAAATATTATTAAATGTGTCATTGATATTTAAGGTATTTTTAAGTACAGTCAGTCAGTCAGTCAGTCAGCTACAAATGCCATACCTCATTAGCACAACAAGATGAACACCGGATTCAATTGACCCATGATCTCAACTATTGAAATTACTATAATATTCGCAAAACCCCCTTCTGATACGAGTTAGAAAGCTTAAAATAAAGAATGATAAGTTGGAGATGAGATTAAATCTTATTGGGAAACGAAATGAGTATATGGTAGATCACTTGAAATGATTTGACTTTGCCAACTATATGACCATTGTTAATCAAATGTGCTAAGATAGAGTCAAGTCTCGTTTTCGTCGGGCCCTTTCTAAGTCATTCAGGGAGATGTTCACTCATTAGAAAGCAATACGCAGCTCTATCTTGGGCAAACCTGGTTTACGGTGGTCATTTAGAATGATCTGTCGTATATCTTCATCGTTTTCCAATTAGATTCGAACTGGACTCCTACATATTGCATAAGATGTAGTGGCTCGAACCTGTAACGCTAGTTCATTTGTTCAAAAGGAACGATAAATGCTGACAAATCACATGATGTATTATTCAATAATTATTGGAAAAACATTATCCACCAGCTTAAATAAAATAGATGGAATATGGATGTAAGTGGAGTCTAGTAAGCGTTTTTCGTCCTAATTGGGACTCGCCACATTCCATTTATTCTATATAAACTTGTGAAACAATGGCTATTATCAAGGCAATCCGCACAGGACATTCATTTCGTCTTATTTGAGATCAGTCAGCTGCTTATAATGTTTGTGACTTAGGGCAATATCGTGACAATCTGCACAGGATGCATATACCAATAGCAGACTGATTAACTGCAGTCCTAAATATCAATAGGAAGATTCAAACAAACAATATAAAAATGAATTAAAACTTCACCCCATTGCACAAGCTAGTTTCTATCAGGACACAGTAGCTATGTGGATAAAGTGATGACATTTGAAGCGAAAGTTACTGAGTTTGAGTCCCGCAGTGAATACCAAATCTGAGATGAAAGTACATCCAGTTGACTAGTTTCAATGAGAACGAAACGCGATTCCCAGATTTCACTGCTAGCCATCATACATCTTTGCTAAAAATAGTGTTATTATTATAACATCTCGGTGATAAAATATAAAAACAAAACTTAGCTCTTATTATCTGGACGCAAAACAAAATGGTTAATAATCTACCAGTTCAATCGTTCATTATGACTTACACAATTTCAAACGTGCACAAGCCATTCCAAGAGCACATAAACTTTTTTCTAATGCATTTAGTTTTAAATCTGGAGCTTCACCAGTTGAATACGTTTTACTGGAATGTTTTTGAGCAATTAACAGGCCAGAAAAATTATTTGACCAATGATTATGGACAATCGGTTTAGTGCTATCATCATCACTATTATCATTATTGTTATGATGGTTGGTTAAATAGTCATTAAAAGTCTACAAATGTGTTATGTAATGAAAATAAACAAGATTAGAGAAAATTAGACGATTAAATTAGACTAACATTGTATTATCGACAGATAGTTGGTCTGCCTAACCATAATTAGATTCAATAAATACACAAACTAAAGGTTACAAAAATTTAGTTAATCAAATTTGGCTAGTATTTTTTTTCATCTGTTTAGATTGCTCAAGAAGTCCCTCTAAATGCCTGCATCAACACCTGAACTAAAGGTAGGGAGTGAAGTAGTCGAATGAGTCGACAAATTCACTCATCTTGGAATACGCAGATGACATAGTCCTCTTCTTGGTGAAGACGCTGATAAAATGCAGAGTCTTTTGGTAGCACTGAGCAACAATGCCAGAATATTTGGAATGCGTTTCTCTCCCTCTAAATGCAAGTTGCTGCTTCAGGACTGGTCTGCGTCTACACCTGTACTAAGGATAGGGAATAACGTAGTCGAACGCGTTGACAACTTCACTTATCTTGTAAGTCTGATCAGCCCTAGTGGGTTGGTATCGGACGAAATCTCAGCACAGATTCGAAAAGCTTGTTTGACTTTTGCCAACTTACTTCACCTATGGCGAAGGCGAGATATCCGTCTATCAATAAAAGGACGAGTATACTGCACGGCAGTTCGTTCTGTTCTACTTAACGGCAGTGAAACATGGCCATCAACAGTAGAAGATATTCGTAAGCTACTAGTATTTGACCACAGATGCCTTATAAATATTGCAGGCGTCTGTTGGGATCACCGCGTAAGTAATAGTGAGGTTAGACGTAGGGTATCAGGGAATGATGATGTTAAGTCAGCTGATAAAATTGTGAATCTTCATCAACTGAGATGGTTGGGCCATGTGTTACGTATGCCTGAACACCGATTATCACGACGCACAATGCTCACTAGTGTTGGAGATGGTTGGAAGAGAGTTAGGGGTGGCCAAACCAAAACGTGGCATCAGTCAGTGAAGTCACTAACTTCTAATCTGAGCCATGTTGGTAGATGAAAACTACTTGGTTGCGGTCCACGTGACTATCGTAACCAATGGTTGGAGACTTTGGGTGACATGGCTGAGAATCGATCACAATGGCGTCAGTGTATACACTCTCTGTCTTCCCTTAAACTAAGAGATTAATATCGCCCCATATCTTTCTTTCTACGAACTAATTCTTTCTTCCTGTACTATATCCTTATATGCAATCTTTCTTTTATATATTACCACTATTGAACTAACTAATTCTATGAATCCGATGTTCATCTTGTTGTGCTAATGCGGTATGGCAACTTGGACCGATGCACATATGTGCCTGGTCCTACGTTGTAGTTGACTGTTGACCCTGGAATTCTTCAGAATGCCAACTTCATGACTAACTCTTATTCATTTCATTTTTTATGACCCATATATTTGTCCCATGATTGTTTTGTACTTTCAGAGAAAGAAAAGGAAATTGCAAGGACCTCCAATTTAGTGGTGGACCTAGGGAAACGATAAAATGTGCTAGAAACCCGTGAACAATCATTGATGAATATGTAGACATGTTTTAGAGACGCAGCATTGCACAAACGTGGTCCTACACGAATATTCACGAACTTGGAAACCTTCACGTAGACGAAAGAGTATTTACAGTATGCTCATTCAGATTGTTAGATTGGTTATGTTCATAACTGAGAAACACTAATTGATAAGTTTGCATTTTTATTGAAAAGAACGCATCTACCTATCTATACATAAATAAATATAACTACTTCGATGGCTCTAGAGGTTTGCTTATAACTGTGTAGTTTAAGATGCATGATATTCTAACTCAGGTAGCAGAATTTTTTTGATGGGAGTGCGGCGTATGTAGGTAATGAGAGGAAAACAGACAAGAATCTAAGAGAATAGATTTCTAGTAGTATCATATTCAATAATCTAACAAAGCGATCCGCATAATTCATTGTAGCAAGTATAGATAGTAGGTGATAACGATGAAATCACAGTTCTACTTTGCACTAAACTTCGTCATATTTGTACAAACACCAGTTAATCACTAAAATGTATTTTGTACAACCTAATTCCATCACTACTGTTTCGAGAATGTTATTAATAGCGAAGTTAGAGAGGAATGGTGAGATTAGATAACTTTGCCTAATCCTACACGTAGAGGTGGTTGTATGCCTTTATTCTGCCTGAAGTGTTTATGCACAGAAACTTCAAGATGTGAATAGGCTTCTCAGACATTCTCTTCTTTAACAAACAATCTAAGAGTACAATTTTATTGAATGAATCTAATGCAACCTCGATGTCAGATGAATCATAACTATTGTTAGCTTGAAACAAGTGTGGTGGTGATCCAGTATTCGGTGAAGGTTGAAGTAATGATCAATACTAATCCACGAATTGAATGAAAACCAGCCTAGTAACTGCGAATTAGCATTTCATAGCTTTTGAACAATCTGCAGAGTATGACAGAAATAAAATGAATATGCACTTAATCTTCTTACTTTAATTTCTTTTTTTGTTGATGATGAAGATGATGAATTGTCAGGATTCTCAATTGGAATAATTAAACAATCACCTAAATTTAAATCATCCATTTGACCAGCTAATTCATATGCATCTTTGATTTGATTATTGCTACGTTTATCAAGAGCTCGAAATATTCCACCATGACTCCAATGACCACTGTTATCTGTAAAAAGAAACGTATAAATTGAAGGGAATTTCACAAATGAGATTGGAAAATTACTATACATAGAATGATATAACCTGTGAAGTGATATGTTCAACAAATGAGCAACGAAAAAGTAATCCAACAAAATTAGAGATCATGTTCACTGTCAACTAATCCTAACTCCGCCCGTAACCCCGCTCTGGGGCTACTGCAGGTCCCAAGCCCGGACAAAGGAGGAGGGATGGGCATGAAATTAGCGATCCCATCCTGTAGAAAACTAACTCGCTAAAAAAAACGCTGACCAGAAAAAATTATTCAAACCATTTAAACTCTGCCCTGGGAGTTAGAAGGTCTTCATTTAGAAGAGTTATGACGCCTAATGATGGAAGCCGAGTTCCTTCTGAAGTCACGATGATGATGCCCCTTCTGACAACCAGAGCAACCATTTATTTAGGTACGTGGAATACTTGTATAATGTGGGACACCGAGAGAGTCTTCCAAATTGCTGCAGAAATGAGGAGATGCAACCTGGAGGTGCTTGGAATCATTGGAATCAGTCAACTAATCCTCATTTGTGGCAACAAACTTGACCTATCTCTATTTCTCTTGTTTAAATCATTTCTAGAGGTTCTTAAAAGTTAGGCAATTCAGGTATCTCGTTATTTTGCGCTTTATCACCTTATGTTGTACATATAAAGCAATGGTTCGGTACTATCGACGTTTTTGGATAATTTTTTTCAGGCTTAGTTTATTAGCATCGATGTTGGTAGTTTGTCAGTTATTGGAAAAAAAGAAGTGACTACTGATATTCGATTATTTTTATCAACACTAGAAGTTTATGGTCTCATGGGGGGGGTCGCTGGATTCAAAGTCCAAAGTACTAACCGCTACACCACGAGGCCACGGTCGCGACCATGGTCTCATACAAACAACAATCCTAGTAATTCAGTCTGTCATGTAAACGTTTTTGAAAAAAACATCATCGTTGATGATATTCAAGCCAGCCAATCGGCAATCAATAGACATATCAGCATAAACCTTATCAACCAATCTATATTTAAAAAACTGATCAATAACACAGGAAAGGGTGAATTAAGTATGTCAGTCAATGAAAATACAAAGAAAAATATAATTAATAAAAACCTAGGAAAACACCCAACCATTTATAGAAAAAACCATCAGAACAGGCTGATTTGGAGTGTTTGGAATGATTAAACAGCTTTGTTATAATTTGTACCCTGTGTCCTATTAACATATGGCGTAATGATACCGCCAATTAGAGAACAGTGATTTATCGACCGGATCAATGACGCATAAAACAAGTACGAGCAGTCTGCAGACCTTATCGGTCCTTCTTACCGCCAGGCCCTGACTGTTAAATCCAAAACACCAATCTCAGTCTCTGCGATATGAATCATGTATTTCAAACATACTGGGGTTTATATACCAACCAGACAGACCACATCGTACCATAAAAATGGGAAACAACATTTATACAAGATATAGCCAAATATGGCTGTGAATGAGGGAGGTGGTAATCAATAGACTCGGCATAACTCAAGAATGGTAAATCGCATAACAGTAGTCTCTGGGTCAAAATAAAGCTTATGATAAGAGGGACATGAATATCAATAGTTGAATTACTTAACAATTATACGATAAATATATATGTACAGTTTTTGTCCAGAAATAGATTCCAACAATTACCATTCATTATTCTTATCGGGATATTAGAAGCATACTTCCAATAACGTTATCCAGAACGATAATGAAAGATAAGCAATTAAACAAATGAGCTCACCTCAGATACATTATCTTTCACATTATTTTCCAAAATAAATTTATGTTGTATTATGTTGGGGATGTTAGATCGCCAGAACTTACTTGATAAATACCTTATTTTTTGTAATTTTATTTTAAAAATTTGAATTTCTTGTTTCCGCGCCAAAAGCGCTCATTTTCACCTTCATTTTGCACTTTCCACTTCGGAGGATCTTAAGCGCTATTGGTTCGTTGTATCTTTTTAGTATGCTATTTTGTAACGCTTCCCAAGGACAATTTATGCTGTATATATCCGTTTGATTTATGCCTGTTGTTATTGCTTATGCTTCTGGCTGCTTACGGAATATATTTCCCCGTTCGAACTTGGACTTCTCTCTCTAGTTAGGGTGCTGGAATGTGTCACTGTGTCACAGAATCCTCGTTCCGTTCTCAAGTTAGGTGAACTCGTAATCGCTTCAAATATAGCATGTTTAAGTTTATTATTAAGAAGTTAGAAAGCATCAGTGATCTCTGAAAAGATATTAAACTTACCAATAGTAGTACATACAAAATATGGTGGTGTACCATCAATTTTATTTTCAGCTTTCATTAATGAGAAAATACTAAGTGGCTCAGAGGCATCACCAATTTTATAGTAGATTCCAGCATCAGTTCCATATGGAAACTCTTCACTTGTCATGTTATTTCTTATTTCATCTCGGAAGTCATTATCATTATCAAGTACATTCTCGAATTGATCCCTATGATTAGGATGTGGATAATGATTTACTTCAGCTATAGTTGATTCATCTCGGAACACACTGAATGTTTTATAGCCAACAGATTGCCACAAGGAAAGTCTAAAATACAAATTAGATGAATGACAATTAAATTTGAACATAAATTGAATAAACTGTCCTAATGTAATGTATACTACTTATGTCTTTCAAGATAAGTAGTATGTAATACCAATCAGAAGTGGGATGTATGTCAACAGAAGGTCAAGAAGATCGAGTTGAAGAAAACAAAAAGAGGAATAGGAAGGGATTATCATTATTTATTTATTAATTTTGGAGATATAAATATTGGCACAAGAAGGCACCAAATATATATGCGCCACACAAAACAATGAGAATTCGAAGAGAAAAAAAGGTAAGGAGCGTAAAAAAGAACAATAACGAACAGATTAGTGTAAGGTTGTGTAATAGTAATAATGGGGGAAACGAAAAAGTACAATCAGAAAAAATCAAAGTTGCAAAGCACATACCATACCTACGGCCAATTATTACCAACTAAGTGCGGATTGCTTGGCTTGGGTATTATCGCACAGTAAGACAATATCATCCACATACTCAAGGTCGAGAAGTCTTTCTCCAGGCAACAGATCCACACCACCATTACTTACAACCATCAGAGTTGTTTCCAGAATGTCGTCGATGGCAAAGGTAAAGAGGAATGGTGAGATTGGGCAACCCTGCCTAACCCCACTGCTCGGATGGAACAATGGAGAGAGGTGATTATATGCCCTCACTCTGCCTGAGGTGTTTTTATATAGGGCTTTTAGGATGTTAATAATAGCATCGTTACATACTATGTTTAAGACCAATTTTTGTACCAAAGACTGAAAACATATCGCATAACTGATGAAGTAATGGGAATTATAAAATATACACACTATAAACTATAAACAAATAACCCGACCGTTGTTGCTACCTTGATGTGGTTGCTGGGCTTACCTATCGTGATGAACCAGTCGAGCTACACTGGTTGGAACAACCATCCCTCAAGGTCCTACCAGACAAATCGGTTGAAGAACGGTAAGACTAAAAGCAGCAAACCGAAAATTCAGACAACCAGCATAACAGCGATGATGCCTTCCCACAACGAGGGGTGGGGTTAGAGAAGGTCAACCCTAAAAATACACACTTCGCCTTATCCCACGTATATCCGTCTCCGACGGTAAGGTCTCAACAAGTACGGAGCTAACACGAAAATTGCTCGCAGAAAGTTAGTGTGTGACCGACCTCAAGCAGTTATCCCTTGGGCACTGGGGTCACGCTCTCAGGTCACTAAGACTACCCCTAACCCAATTTCTTTTTCCGATACCTCCAGAAGAATCCTTTCACTGTGTGGGCAACCGGGAAATGATAACCGCCCTCAAGACCACTGATGAACAAATAATATATAAAATATCCTTTTTACTACAAAAAGACCTAGCTTACTTTCTTTCTAAACGTTCAGCGCTCCGAATCGCTTCATTTTCTTTTCGTTTATATTCACGTTTAGCTTTATTCTCAGCAGCCTAATTGTAAATTTTAAAATACAACAAATACATACGTTAAGTATAGATTAATAAATGCACATAATATATCCTATAAATATATGAAACGAACTACTAAGGATGTTAGTTATAGACATATCTAAACACTTTGGAAATTCATTAACTGTTGAATGTGGTTTTTCAAGATAACTCGATCGTTTATGTTGCCAAGATGATTGCTGATGCAGTGTATTTGTGGTTAGGGCACCCGGGGCAGTATCACATTCCTCACATAAAATGAATAATTTATGTGGTACATATCTATTTGGTGCCTCCTTGTACCATCGTTTACGTGTATTTGTGGAAATTATCTGTGCACACAATTCTAACAAAATATTAAACTAATAAGAATGTAATCATAGGATGTACTGAGCTCGATTTATTTTCTGGACAACAATTTTGTTAAGTATGAAGAAATATGATTGAATTTGAAAGAAAATCTGAGCAGATGTTGGATTCGAACAAACAACCTCTGAGTCTTATTTATTTGAACATATAAATATTGGTACAAAGGGGTACCGAATACATATGCGCCACACAAGTCACTTGATTTGTGTGTGAGCTGTGATAGTGCCTGGGGGACACACCTCGAGACACTGATCTAAAGGTCTGATCCACAAAGAAGTAGAGCAACATCAGTAGATGTAGTTCCATTGTAGCTAGTGACCAACGATTGGTTCATACGCCATTTATTCCCCCAGGATACTGAAGCCCATTTGCACTATTGGTTTGGAATGAGGGTTTTTCAACTCTCCTACGTGAACTCTCCATGTCCACCGGCTAAACCCGGTTAAAGCGTCGGATATTCGCTTTTCATCCTCTCAATTTCGTAAACAACACTCCCATCACGAGAGGGCAGTAAGTAGGACTTCATTGACAGTGGCTGAATACGCGTGGCCATGTGAGAGCATTACGAGAGGGAGAGCTGACTCTCCTCTCTCTCGGCCGTACCAGGGTATTTGGGGACAACCTCTGAGTTACTAGACGTAGTTCTCTTACAACCTTAATTACAAATATCATCAACTCGAAATTGAAGCTTGTTAAATAGTGTTGTCTAAGATATTTCCAAGTAATAATAACGATAATAATAAAACTAGTAAATGATACCTTTTTATTACGAGCTTCAATTTCTTCTGGTGTTAACTTTTTGCGATGCTTATTCAATTTGGTGAAAGTAGAATTCGATACGCTAAATCCTGTGATATTTTCTGATGCAAGCAATTCATCATCTTCAACGCTTAATTTAGATTTGGTTAATTCATAGTCTAAAACAATAAAAAGTAATAATGAAATTGTTGTATTCAATATAGTTATTTTTCATATAGTTAGCTTTAAACTACACTCTGTGTGGTTCAAATCACAAAGTGGTTATAGTTAGACCACTATTAAAAACTGGAAAGCATTGGACAGCTGTTTTTTTCACAGAACGGGGCTCTTCAACAACGATCCTTCACGGTCCTACCACAGGGGATGGAACTCAGGATATCCGATCTTGTGTGCAAACGCTTGGCTTCTAGAATACTGAGTTGGTATTCAATGGTGTAAATAAACAAACATGAGAGGTCTTGGGTTCAACCCCCTATAATGGAGTCATGAATAGGCATTGCTGAAGAGTCCTCTACTAAGACGAATCAACTGTTCAGTGTTTCCTGGTTCCTAATGATGGTCTAACTAAAATCAGTTAGTGATATAAACTACGAGGATTTAATCATCTCCACAAAACTCACTACAGTAATCACACTTTATTGTGAAGAAAGGATACTCAGGTGGTGACTACAAGCAAAGTATGTGAAGCAAAGTACAAATTGATGCCATCATAATGGTTGTACACTGAATGTTTTAACGACTAAGTTATTATAACAATGCGGATCAAAGCTTATCACTTCAACTGTTAGACTTAGTACTCGTCAGCTAAATGAACTTCTATCCCAGAATAAGACTGATCGAATTTCAGTCAATGGAATAATCCAAACCATGACAAATTAACATCTAAGATTTTTTGTTATTAAAGGAGACAATCGATCAGGAAAAATTTAACGTGATTACGTCATAACTCTAATTCATTACCTTGTTGCAACTTTTTAACTGCTTCTTGATCAGCTTCACTAGGTTCACAGTGAAACGGTTCATTTGTGAGTAGCACCCAACCACAAGAATTTATCTGTTCTTCTAAGGTGCCATTATTTATGGTGGATGGAGGAACTGGTAACCAGTGTCCTGTTTCATGATCTGTTTCACCAAGTATTTGAGTAAAATTCAGATTAACTTTCTTGTCATCCTCATCATTGTTGCCAACATCGTTATCAGTTGTCTTGAGTAGTTTAGCCAATCCGAATTTAAGAACATTATTCAACTGTGGTAATCAAAAAGTGAAATGAACTGTAAGACAATAACAAGGGTATTTTATATATAAATACACTTTAAAAAAATTATTCATACTGTAGAAGACTTATTTGTCAACCACTGCCAGAGAAGTCCTACTCACTAACTTCTCGTGGCATTACTGTTGTTTACGAAATTGAGAGGATTGAATGAAAAGCGAATATTCGACGCTTTAACCGGGTTGGTGGACACGGACACTCCACCTAGGAGTGTTGGAAAACTCTCATTCCAAACAATGATGCATTTTGGCTCCAGTATCCTAGAGGAAAAAATGGTGTATGAACCAATTGTTGGTCAATGGCTACCATGGGACTTCATCTCCTCACGTTGCTCTACTACCTTGTGGATTAGATCTCTAGGTGAAAAGCTCCGAATGGCCCCTTAAGAAAACCACCTGTTTCGGTTTGGGCACCCGGGCAGCATCCAATCCCTTACATAAATCGAATGATTTATGTGGCGCCTCCTTGTACCAATGTTTATTTGTTTAAATAAATAAATAAATATTCATCAATACATCTAAGAATCGGAATATTGGATAAATGTCATTGAAATATTAAAATAACGACTGTACAAATATCCAGAATTATGATGAGATGGATTTCTATGAATTTGCTAATTGATTACTCAATGATAAACAATGTCATATTTTTTTAAATCTTCAATTCTGATCGAATGCTATTCAGGTCCAACAGATGATTAGTCGTTAACCGAATGGACCATTATTAACGTTTACGATGAGAGATAGTAGTTCTCTCAAGATTACAGCTATAATTTAATGACGAGTGACAAATAGTATCAAACGTAAGTAAAATGAAGCTACCTACTTATTGCCTTCAACTCCCCTAACATCGAAATACATTTATGATTTCCTGAGATATTGGCTAATTTCGATTTTTAACAGAAAAATAAAATTGAAAATCAGGAAAATGGGAAATAAAAGGATTTTATCAACTCAAAATACATTACATTTGGAGATACATTTCGTCATACACTAACATTCAACTGGAGAACTAATTAATACCAGAAAAGATTTTGTGGATATCATATTAATTTTTTAATAGTTGAGATCATAAGTCAATTGAAGCTAGACCGTCATAGAAAACCTGGAAGCATTAGACAGCCCTTCATCTTATAGTGGGACTTCTCAGCAGTGTGTACCCACGATCTCGCTTTGCGAGGTTCGAACCCAGGACTTATCGGTCTCGTGCGCGAGAACACTTAACCTCTATAGATCACTGAGTCGGCATCAGACAGCATAGGAAATAGCTTTACTGTCTCAGTTGTTCCTGGTTATTCAGTTTTATGTCTATCTGTGACAGAGACCATTATCATCAAATTGACTTATTGAGTAAAAGTTAACACATACACACACACTCACTTTCTTGAAAAAATAAACAGAACTGTTGTTATCTTAAATTACTCTAACCATAAATTATATTTACCTCATCGAATGTGAACGGTTTATCAGTTTTATTTTCTAGATTTTTTGAATCTGTCGTATTTAATACACGAGTTGCTAACTTTAATTTGGTCTCTGCACGAGATAATATTGCTTCTTCAACAGTATGCCGGCAAACAAGTCTTATTATTCGAACTGGCCTAATAAAAAACAAAAAAGAAGAAAAAGAAATAACATCTTCATTTGAATAATCCTCTTTGATATAAGTTAAGGAGGAATTTACAAATGACTGACCTTTTAAAGAGTCAGTCAGTCAGTCAGTAACAACGTAGAACATCGTACGTACGTACATCAGTTCAAGTTGCTATACCACATTAGCACAGTGATACAATTGTCAATTCAAATCCCATAGTGGTAGAGGTAGTAAAATTATAAGCAGTAATTGGAAAGACTAGTTTTAATTTGTGGTTAGTGAATCAGTCAGTTATACATCATGTAAAACCTGATATATGTGTACACTGGTTTGAGTTGCCATAGCAAATCAGCACAGAGAAATGAAGTTATCAAAACAAATACCAGAGTGATAGATGTAGTAATAGTATTAGTATTAATAGAAAAGATTAGGCATTTAAGATATAATTAGAGAAGAAAATCTCAATTCTTTATGAAGGAGAATACACGAAGTTACTAGTTATTGGTTATCATGCCAATCTCAACCAGGTAGTCTGGATCTACCAGTAGTAATTGTCTTTGTGAACTGATAACATGTCTTGGTTTGGTCGTCCCTAACCTTCTTCCAATCTACTTCTACATCAGCCATCATCGTGCATCCAGATAATCAGTGGATGGACATACTTGATACATGTTGCAAACATGTCGGTTGATAAAGATTCACTACATCATCAATCGATTTACTTAGTACTATGAGTCTAACCTTAGAATCACAATCTCAATGCTCTAAAAAAGTATACAAACAGTGGTTCGAAAATATCTATGAAGGAATATCCTCTACTTTTAAAGGCCATGTTTCATATGTATAAAGTAGAATGGAACGGACTGTTGTATAGTAAAATAGTCCTTTAGTTTGGAAAGAGATATCTCATCTACGATACAAGTGACGCAAGCTGGTAAAAATCAATCGGGTTTTCCGAATTTCGTCAGACACCAACCATCCTTCAAAAGTGATCACACTTCTAATATAAACTGAAGCGTTTCGAAGAGAATTGGTTATTTTATAGAAAGCTTTAAATCTGTATAATTTCAAGATAAGTTACAATCTTTTTTTTACGTACAGTGTCAGTAAGATGATAAGTTTTCAATGATATTCTTAGGAAAATTATTATTCTTTTTACATAATTAATACTTACTTGGTCTGACCAATACGATGAGCACGCCCAGCGGCTTGTACATCGATTTGTGGATTAAAATCATTATCAACAAAGATAACAGTATCAGCAGAGACAAGATTCAAACCCTGACCACCTGAGAAATAAAAGAAGATTCAAAGATATTGGTTTGATAGATCATAGTGAATTATATATTCATACTCATATCCACTTCCTGATAACAATTTTTCAATGAACTTTGTTTCAAATGATCAATAGGCTGAATAAATTCACACATTCTCAAATTTTTAATTAAACTTCTCGTGTGCTGTTACGGATATGTGATATGGCAACTTGAACTGATGTACGTAAGCACGATGTTCTACGTTGTTGCTGACTTACTGATGTGTGGGCGAGAATGATAATGATTGGTTGTCTGCTTAATCAGACAAGTAGATGGTCTGACAGGTGTTAGATGTGTTATATATTCCCATATCCTTATCATTATTGTCCCCGAATGCCCTGGTACAGTCGAGACTGGGGAGAGTAAGCTCTCCCTCTCAAAATTCTCTCATATGGCCACGCGTATTTAGCCTTTTTCAGGGAAGTCTTACTCACTACCTTTTCGCGGCATTACTATTGTTTACGAAATTGAGAGGATGATAAGAGAATATCCGACGTTTTAACCGGGTTGGTGGACACGGACACTCCATCTAGGGGAGTTGGAAAACCCTCATTTCAAACTAATGGTGCACATGGGCTCCAGTATGCTGAAGGAACAAATGGAGTATGAGTAATCAATCGTTGGTCAATGGCTACCATGGGACTGCATCTCCTTACGGTGCTTCACCGCCTTGTGGATTAGACCTTCATGTCGAAGGCTCCGGGTGTGGCCCCCTAAGACAACCACCTGTTTCGGTTTGGGCACCCGGGCAGTAATACATCCCTCACACAAATCAAATGGGATTTGTGTGGCGCATATGTATCTGGTGCCCCCTTGTACCAATATCTATGTGTTGAAATGAATAAATAAATTATTATTTTTATTTTTATTGATTGTTCATTGTTGTTGGATTATGTCGGGTTTTGGAGTGAAAATATAGTCAGGCTAATCACGTGTTCTTGATCTGAGTTGTGTTGAAGTGCTGTAGAATAACAGACACTGAGAGGGAATCTAGTGTAGATATTCGTCTAAGGTAAATTAACCTCCCATATGTGTAGACGAAGTAAAACTGAGCGTTATAATACTAATGTCAAAGGAGTTACAAATTTTGAATAAGTATATATTTCTACTAGATCATACATTTTCACAAACACATATCCTATCTTCAGAAAGAGTTGTGTGGAGATTTTTTTAGAAATTTCAACAGTTGAAATCACGAGTCAACTGAAGCTAAACCACCATGGAAAACCCGAAAGTACTGGACGGCCGTTTCGTCGTAGTATGAGACTTCTCATCAGTGCGCATCCAAGATCCCTCACCCCGCGAGATTCGAACCCAAGCCATATCAGTCTCGCGCGTGAGCGCTTAACCATTAAACCACTGAGCCCGACGGCATCCAACGGTGTTAATGCCTAACTTCAACTAATCCACAAAGTTGCGCCACCGTACACCATTGTCTTCAGTGAGTTAGTATCTCACAACAGACCTGGTTGAACTCCAGTGGTCACTGCTTCTCACTAGAACTCCAGGAAATGTCTCCTATTCTATCGAACAATTCTTTATCAGTTTTAATTAAATTATGGTCAATATGAAACAGGAAAAGAAAGGAAAAACATTTTCACCTGCACGAGTACTAAGTAGAAACACAAATGTTTCTTGATCTTCATTAAAACTTTTAACAGCTTGAAAACGATCTTCACCACGTACTGAACCATCTAAACGTTCATAACTATAACCTATGGTAATTAAAAGATAAAAAGATAGAAAAAGTATCAACTTGAAGATCTTTTTAATCATGTACTGCTGATAATAGTTGAAAAATCATTGTAAACTAGAAATAATTGCGCAAATGGTTACGCTGTATTTACAATTCATCGCAAATACACAGAAATGGAATAAAACTTAAAAATGAGCATATTATCTTTTGGGATTCTTAAGTTAAAGAATGAAATGGTAACTCAAAAGTTAAAGTGTTTGATATTTAGCTAATAAGTAACAGGTTCGAACTCTGTATTACCTACTTCAGCTTCGGCTATCGCTTAATATTGCTAACTCTGATAAGAGTGTAACTAGAAGTGAAATACTAATTTAAAGAATCAGTGAACTGATGTAGTTATTGGTTACTTGGAAATTATGTTCAGAGAGGAGTTTTGTGGAGATTGTAGTAATTTAATAATTGAATTCATGAGTCAATCTCGTAGACCAGTTGGAGTTATACATTAACATTGTTGGATGTCGGTCGGCTCAGTGGTCTCAAGATTAAACATTCGCGCACGAGGCCGATAGGTCATGGGTTCGAATCTCATGAGGCGGGATTGTGGATGCACACTACCAAGGAGGAGTCCCGCAATAGAACGAGACGACCGTCCAGTACTTTCAGATTTTTCATGGTGGTCTAGCTTTAATTGACTCATGAATTCAATTATTAAATTGAAATTATATGTTGTTTTTTATTAGTCGAATATGCTTCGTATTTTGAAAGAAACAATGGAACTCATCCATTGGATCAAATGTTAAGTACAATTTATGGTCTACACTAGGACTCTCTAATAAAGGACACTGACGAATTTGCGAATTATGGGACACTTAGACTTTAAGCTATCATATGGAGGAAGTATTATCTTTTAGAACATTCCAGTTAGAATTCAATAGTTTACATTCTGTGATGAAAACTATCCTCACAAATCTCATATGATGATAAAAAAAACCAAGTACTTATTAGTGACAAACTCCGAAAATTCTTTTCAGAAGTCGTAGTCGATGGGGTGAAATCACATCATGAGTGAAACACATATCACTAATCAAAATAGATTATGGTCATGTAAAGTTGCAGGTTAAATTAAGTTGGAGATATGAAATCCTAAATGTAAACTTAGTGATCTGAAATATAAAATAAATACATAAATTATCAGAATGGGTTTTGTGGAGATTTTTAGAAATTTCACTGGTTGAAATCACGAGCCAGTTGAAGCTAGACCACTATCGAAAACCTGAAAGTACTGGAATGCCGTTTCGGCTTAGTATGGGACTCCTCACCAGTGTGCACCCACGATCCCACACCCCGCGAGATTCGAACCCAGGACCTATCGGTCTCGCGCCAGGCGCTTAACCAACTAGACCAATGAGCCGGCATCCAACGGTTTTAATGTCTAACTTCAAACAATCCACGAAGTTGCGCCACCGTACACCATTGTCTTCAGTGAGTTCCTATCTCAGGTTTTCCATGGTGGTCTAGCTTCAATTAACTCATGATTTCAACCAGTGAAAATACATAAATTTAAATCATTGATTAGGTACATGAGTATTAGCCAAACTTTAATTAGGATGACCAACGATACTACTCGCTACGCGAAATCGAAGTAGGTAGAACGAGGTTCACACCTAATACTTAGTGGCCAAAAATTGAACAACTTAACCGTTTGATCAACCACTTTGAAATATGATACAATCGACGCATGATATGAAGGTATTGGGTTCAACATCTAACTGGATCATAAAAGGATTTCATTGGAAAGTCTTATAATACAAGTACACATAATAAAACCAATTGAACTTTTTACAGTTTCATGTCAATAAACTTGAATGATCATTTACAAATAATAAGAACATACCTCTTAAAGTCATATAATCTTGTATAATATCAAGCATACGAGTCATTTGAGAAAAGATTAAAACTTTATGTACAGGTTTTGAATTAGAAGAATAAAATGATTTGCCCAAATTAGAATAATTAGGATTATATAGAAATTGTAAAAGAAGATCTAATAGAAAAAGTTTTGAACTGGTTTGAATTAAATGTTCACCAAGTGTGAATGGTTCTGGTTCTATACCTAAATAAAAAGAGATAAATATAATAAAATGAACATCTTTTTTTTCTTGAATAGAATGGTGAAATCATTCAATGAAATTCATTTATTTGGACATTGAATGTGTAAGTTTATTCGATGGGAGGGGTCGGAAAATATCCCCTACCAAAGTCTATAGAAGTACAGAAAACACCAAAATGTGTTTTATGTAATCAGGATTGAATAGAAGCATCTCAGAAATATCTACATAAATGAAGGACCATATATCATGTTTTTGACTGAATAATTAGTTATTCTATTGTTAGATACAATATGCTTTCAGAAAGCTCTAGAAGATCGAATTCACATTAAACGATAAATACTAGGAGTAAAGCTCCTATTCATAAGACTACTTTGTCTACGGTTTGAGTTGACATCTCTAAATAGTCTAGAAATATTGCTCGCATCTGCTGGGATCACCGCGTAAGTAATAGTGAGGTTAGACGTAAGATATTACAGAATGATGATGGTAAATCAGTTGATGAAGTTGTGAGATGGTTGGGCCATGTGTTACGTATGCCTGAACACCGATTATCATGACGCGCAATGCTCACTAGTGTTGGAGATGGTTGGAAGAAAGTTAGGGGTGGCCAAACCAAAACGTGGCATCAGTCAGTGAAGTCACTTATTTCTAGTCTGAGTCATGTTGGTAGATGCAGACTACTTGGTTGGGGTCCACGTGACTATCGTAACCAATGGTTGGAGACTTTGGGTGACATGTCTCAGAATCGACCACAATGACGTAGGTGCATACACTCCCTGTCCTCCCTTAAACTAAGAGATTAATATCGCCCCATATCTTTCTTTCTACGAACTAATTCTTTCTTCCTGTACTATATCCTTATATGCAATCTTTCTTTTATATATTACCACTATTGAATTAACTACTTCTATGAATCTGGTGTTCATGTTGTTGTGCTAATGAGGTGTGGCAACTTGAACCGATGCACATATGTGCCTGGTCCTAAGTTGTAGCTGACTGACTATAAATAGTCTGGAGTTTAGGAAGTCAGAAATAAGTGTTCCAGTAGCAGACATCAATAAGATACACAATTTACAACATAAAACTGATGTCGGTATAAGATAATACAAATACAATATATACACGGATCGAAGTCATCAGAAGTTTACTTTAAAAGATTCAGGGTATATTAATTTCAACCTGTTCCTCTTATATTTCACAATACTCAAAATTTGTGGCAGGACACTTTTGAAATTAGAATTGGAAGTCCTTAAAAGTTAAGATTTTCAGCTGTTTTGTTGTTCCACGTTTTATTAACTCTGTACTGTCTAACTTTCTTTTTCCCTCATGATCATTTTGCAGTTTAGGAGAAAAAATAAAATCACATGAGAATGATTTAGATGAGAAAAGAGCATCCTTTAGAGCTGTGATCACATTACAGATTAAAAACATACAGACAGTCACTAATGACATATATATCAACTCCAGTTGACTTCACTATGTTCATGGAGTAACGATTTATTTTCATATACTAAAATAACTGATCCCCCATAAAACAGGTTATCATCTATAATTGAATGGAATATCTTCGGAATATCTTTTTAGAGCTTCCTCGAGTTCACCCGTGGACGGTCCTCACACACATATTCCCATATTGATTATGGATAATATTTACAGTTAACACTAATATTATTACTACATCTACTACTCTAGGATCAATCTTGACAATTTCATCTCTCTCTCTCTCTCTCTGCTAACAGGATGTGACAACTTGAACTGATGTATTATACATGTATCAAATTGTAAGTTGAATACGACCGAATAACTACCGTATGCTTATTTGAGAAAATTGTCATATAACTAGAATCAATTGAGATCATTAACAGAAATATATCATATTGAAAATTACATTGTCAATTTCAATCAAGAATAAAACGGTTAAACTAACCATCGAATAAATATGGATGATTTACACATTTTCTTAAATTCATAATCAAGTTCTGTAAACGATTGTGAATACGTTGATCATTATTATGTTGACCAGTAATAGATTGAAATAAATCTGTAAAACATTAGATAACGTAAAAATTATAAAGTGTACAAATTAATTAAATGGAACAAACACTAAAACATTATATGTAAAGATAGATAGTGACTAGTAGTGGAATTCATGATGTGCGTTTCGTCCTATTTGGAACTCGTCAAATGGATGTACCTACACCTCTGTGTTGATGTTTACTCTGGGACTCGAAACCAATAACGTTCGCTTCAAATGCTATCGCATTATCCACTTAGCTATTGAGTCCTGATAGTCACTTGCTTGTGCACTTCATCAAGAATCCAAAGAAAGGAGATCGGTGAAAATGTGAGAATCAAAGAGGCATCACACTACTATCGGAACCAGGAAAGGTTTTCAACAGAGTGCTGCTGAAACAGATGAAAGATTCAGTAGACGCCCAACTACGAGATCAACAAGCTGAATTCCGTAAGGATCGGTTGTGCACAGACCAAATTGTGACACTATGGATCATCGTTGAACAATCAATTGAATGGAACTCGTCAATATACATCAAATTCCTTGATTATGAGAAAGCATTTGACAGTGTGGATAAGAGAACATTATGGGAACTTCTTCGACACTATGAAGTACCTGAGATCTCCAACATCATACGTAATTCATACAACAGATTACACTGCAAAGTCGTTCATGGAAGACGGATGAAAAATGCGTTCCGACTGAGGATCAGTGTCGGATAAGGCTGCATATTCTCTTCTTTTCTCTTTCTTCTGGTGGTCAACTGGATTATGAAGACCTTTACATCTGAGAAGAGACACGGAATCAATTAGATTTGGACTTCGCAAATGACCTAGCTCTTCTATCCCATGCACACGAACAAATGCAAGATCCCTAAATACAACCCAGAGAACACCAACACAATCACACTTGGTAGATAAGCTATAGAACTTCTGTAATCTTTCATGTACCTGGACAGCATCATTCATGAACAAGGAGGATCTGATGTAAACGTAAAAACGAGGATTGATAAAGAAAGGGCTGCATTCCTACAGTTGAAGACCATATAGAACTTAAAACAACTGTCAACCAATATCAAAGTCGCAATCATCAATACGAACGTCAGAACAGCCATACTGTACGGAGCTGATACGTGAAAAACTACTACAACCATCATCAAGAAGGTACAAGTATCTATAAATAGTTGTCTATGCAAGATACTCAATATCCGTTGACCGGATGCCATCAGCAATAGCCTACTGTGGGAGAGAACAAACCAGCTTCCAGTTGAAGAGGAAAGTAAGAAAAGACATGGAAGTGGATAGGACATACATTACGGAAATCACCAAATTGCATCACGAAGCAATCGCTAACTTGGAATTCTGAAGGGAAATTGAAAAGAGGAAGACCAAAGAACTCACTCCACCGAGAATTGGAAGCAGACGTGAAAAAGATGAATAGGAACTGGAAAGAACTGAAAATTATTGCCATTACAGAGTTGGATGGAGAGCGCTGATGGGCGGCCTATGCACCTCCACGAGGGCTAACAGGTGTAATCAAGTAACAACTGCTTTCAATTTTAGTGCATTTTTTCGAATTTTTGTGTAAACGCTTCCACGTTTTGAGCTCTTGTTCTCAGTTCGATTGTTGACAGTCATTATCGACACTAAACACAGGTATCACAGCCTGTAAATACCCTGGTACGGTAGACAGCGGGGAGAGTCAGCTCTCCTTCTAAAAACGCTCTCACATGGCCACGTGTATACAGCCACTTCCAGGAAAGTCCTAGTCACTACGTTCTCGCAGCATTACTGTTGTTTAAGAAATTGAAAGAACGAAAAGTGAATATCCGGAGCTTTAACCGGGTTGATGGAAATGGACGATCCCCTTATGGGAGTTGGAAAACCCTCATTCCAAACAATGATGCATTTTGGCTCCAGTATCCTGAGGGAGCAAATGGCGTATGAACTTATTATTGGTCACCGGCTACCATGGGACTGCATCCCCTTATGTCGCTCCAGTCTTGTAGATCAGACCTATAAGTCGAAACTACCGGACGTGGCCCTCTAAGAAAACCACCTGCCTCGGTTTTGGCACCCAGGCAGTATCACAGCCCACATAAATATCAAATGACTTGTGTGGCACCTATGTATTCGGTGCCCCTTTGTTCAAATAAATGAATAAATAAGCAGGTATGAGCTGTCATTCGCTCTATTATACGTTGCAGTCGATCATTCTGCAGGAGTCGATTTCCCTTTCATAAATACAGGCTTGTTAACTACTACAGATACCTTATAAATTGAAGTTTGTGATTAATTCACATGGAGTTTGTAAAAAAAATAGAACCATCTCCTAGAGAAAATCTTTATTTTTTAAATGTGCATTTTCACGTGTATCTCAGAGGTGGGGTTGAATACTTCGTTAGATTTAACATCAACCAAACAATAACAGTAACAATGACTGCAGGCCTCTTATCATCACTGATGGAAAATTTTGTTGTGAAACATAACTGCATAAAGACAACAAACTAACCTGCATTTCGTGTTAATAGGGTCCGATAAATTTGTGTTTGTAAACCAGTTAGTGAATGATAGATTAAAATATCTGCACGTGGTGGTAAATCAGTTAAGACATTTTGTTTAATACGCCGTAAAAGGAATGGACGTAGAATTTTTGCCATATCTTGATCTGTTTCATCTTCTTGATATGATGATAATTAAAAAAAGAATCTAATATAGTAATATACATATACTACTGAATAAATTATAAAGTAGGATAGTATGAATTGAATACCATTGAAGTCAGTGAACAAAACCGAGTTATCATAGTACATTTACGAAGCCTCAAATATGTCTATTTTTGAACAGTGAAATTAGTAGTATGATTTGATTATAGCTTCTACTATATATTTCTTGTTTATTTATTAACCAAAACTTTGTATCTAATTGTTCAAATCGTTGATACTCAGTTAGTGCCAGGTTTTGTGGGGTTAATTCAAATGTTAGTCTGTCTAATAAGTACACAAAGTGAAGTCATAAAAGTTTTATTTTACGGAATCTAAGGTACATCAATCTGATTCCCTTCAAATTACTCCTCATTTGTGAACAATATGCTCTTTGTATCTCTATTTTCTCTTTCTAAAACTTCTATAGAAGTCTTTGAAAATCAGACTTGTCGGATGTTGTGTTACTTTATACATCTTTCTGAACCATTGGACCAATAGAATTCAATCATTTCAAATATTAAAAAGGTACCCACTAAAGACAATGAAAGATGGTCACTTGATATCATAAACTGACCCCTGGTCCAATGATCTAGAGGTTAAGCGTTCGTCATGAGAAGAGGTTTTTGGTTTGATCTTCGACGGTGTGGTCGTGGAAACATACTACTGATGAATGCCATAATAGGACAAAATAACTGTCCAACCCACCCAGGTTCTTATTGGTTATCGAAATCAGATCGGTTCGTGTTTCCAATAAATTTAAAGTGTTTTATTAGAATGGTTATTATTTATTTATTTGAACACATAAATATTGGTACAAGAAGGCACCAAATATATATGCGCCACACAAAACAATGAGAATTCAAAGAGAAAAAAGGTAAGGAGCGTAAAAAAGAACAATAACGAACAGCTTAGTGTAAGGTTGTGTAATAGTAATAATGGGGGAAACGAAAAAGTACAATCAGAAAAAATCTTTCAGTTAAAGAAGAAACAACCATTTCTTATGAAGAAAGTAAAAAGTGGTTACAGCAGGATCGCCACTGACTTCTAATCTGAGCCATATCTGATAACGTCTCTAGCCACTGTGTTGCACCATCTCTAGGACCCCAGCCAGCGAGTCATGAAGGACCAACACAAACCAGTCCTTTGCAGCTTTCTTTCATACCACCACACCACCTCATACACTGACCATCTCTCCACCTCGCTTTTTCCAACCAGTCCCAGAGTCGGCAAATAATGCACGACGTGGAATTCTCTGGGGCGACATTCGGAGAACATGTCCAAGCCACAGAAGTCGGTGTTTCAAGATGGTGACACCAATTGAGTTATCATCTCTGTGCCCGAACACACGATGCCGAACCTCTGCATTATTGACATGGTGTTGCCACTCGATGTCAGCAATCCTTCGGAGACAGCGATGATCAAACACTGAGAGTCGTCTAACATCCTCAACTCGGAGAGGCCAGGTTTCACAAGCATAGAGCAAAACTGCTCTCACCCCACTCTCGGCCACACCAGGGCATTTGGGGGCAATAGTGTAATATCGAACCGACGAGGAACAAAAAAAATTTATAACGCAAATTTCGAATAGTTAAGAGCTAGTGTTAAGGGTTAGATGTTAAAGTTTGATTTCTTATCACGAATTAACATCAACTGTAACGCGCGAGTCTTTGAAAATATATTTTAATCTCAATTCATAGTATGATAGTGTAGTCAATCATTCATTTATTTTTGCTGTCTGCTGATTGACAGGAACGATTAGCACCTCAATGTAGATCATTAGTATAATCTAGGTGTACCGTTAGAATTATGCGCAAAAACAATTTTTTCAGAATCAAAGAATCTTTCAAATACACAAAAATCAAAGGGTTTGAACGTTATACATATTTTCATAATAATTTTAAGTGCTATGCGCATTTACTGGTAGTCTAAGCAGAGAAGGGTTTTGTGCAGATTGTAGTAATTTAATAATTGAATTCATGAGTCAATTAAAGCCAGATCACTATGAAAAATCTGGGAGTACCGGACGGCCGTTTCGTCCCGTTGCGGGACTCCTCAGCAGTGCACATCGACTCTTCCGCCTCACGAGATTCGAACCCATGACCTATCGGTCTCGCGCGCGCGAACGCTTAGCCTTTAGACTACTGAGCCGGCCGGCATCCAACGGTATTAATGTCTAACTTCAACCAATCCACGAAGTCGAGGCACACGTCCACCATTGTCTTAAGTGAGTTACTATCTCACAACGGACCCAGTTGAACTCCACTGGTCACGACTTCTATCTAGAACTCCAGGAAATAACTCTTGAAGACAGTCACTAGTGAGCATATGATAGTTTATGTATTTATTAAACAGGTCATGTACTAAGAATAAAATATTGAAATGTTAGTTTTATGTTCAAAATTAAATGAACTAAGCTATTTCTAATCAATGTACTCACTTTTATCTGCATTGCCAAAATGAGTTAAAAATGTAGAACGTAATTTTCCATGGAAATAGTTAGGTGCGACAAAATGCAGTAAATTGAACAACTCTTCTAAGTTATTTTGAACTGGTGTACCAGTTAGTATAAAACGAATTCCTAGACATGTCTAGAAATAAACTACTCATTAAGATTTGTGAAATGTTGATAAAAAGGAGATTAAAAACATAAAATTTGGTGGGAGAAATGACTCCCCACTCTCAGCCGTATTAGGGCATTCGGAGGCCACTCTAAAATAAATGGAGTGTGGTTAGCAGTGGAATCCAGGACGCGCGTTTTGTCTGACTTGAGACTCGTCAAATGAATTCGCTTGTATCACCGAGTTAGTGTCTACGGTGGGACATGAACCCAATACCTTCCGATTCAAATGCTATCGCGTTATCTAATTAGCTGATGAGCCCAGACAGCCAATCACTATATCGGAACAATCCGAATAGTTTTTAATTTTTACTAACCCTAACATTCGAATCCCTGATTAAACGATTAAATCCAAGCAACCTAAATAGACGAAACAGGATGCATTTAGCTGCATGATGGTGACTATTTATTTTGCTACCTCATGTTTGTGAACGATGTTAGCATTGATATATCAACAAATACAACATATGAGAAAAAATCAACCTTAATTTTATCATACCGACTTAAGGTGGTTTTTGTACAGTTAACTTCCTCACTTTCCATGAATTATATTCAATAACTTCGGTAGTATTTAGTTATTTCATTCCCCATCCACTTTTTTGAGTATCTATCATTTTCAGAATCTCGCACTATGTAGCACTATAGCATCGATGAAGAGTGCAGCCAACTAGTTTCGATCAAGCGTAATTCAATATTTATAGACAGACAAAACCCGACCGTTGTTTCTATCTTGATGTGGTGGTCGGGCTGGCCTATCTTGACCAACCAATCGAGCTATACTGGTTGGAAAAATCATGCCTCAAGGTCCTACCATGCCAGACAGGTCGGTTGAAGAACGGTAAGGCTAAAATCAGCAAACCGAAAATTCGAAGGCGAAGTCGTACTGTTGACTGTACAGAGGTGTGACGGCAGCAAAGTGTTTCCTTCAGACAACCAGCATAACAGCGATGATGCCTTCCCACAACGAGGGGTGGGGTTAGAAAAGGTCGACCCTATAAATGTACACTTCGCCATATCCCAGAGATATCCGTCTCCGACGGTAAGGTCTCAACAAGTACGGAGCTAACACGAAAACTGCTAGCAAAACGTTAGTGTGTGGCCAACCTCAATCAGTTGTCCCTTGGGCACTGAGGTCACTCTCTCAGGTCACTAAAACCACCCCTAACCCAATTTCTTTTTCAGGTACCACCAGAACAACCCTTCCATGGTGTGGGCGACCGGGAAGTGATAACCGCCCTCATATCTCTAACAGCACTCATGACCACTGTATTCATAATCAAACTCCCTCTTCAATTCCTAATATTCCTCCTACATCGACTTCAAACTCTAAACTTCCTCTTTCGGCTTCCTCCTCAAGTGTCACCATGGCCAACGATTCTAGTGCGCGAAACACTGTCCCAGGTCTGCTGAAACCTCGCTCCAAACTACACATTGGAGCCTTCAACGTACGCACCCTATGTCAAACCGGCCAGCAGGCCTCCTTAGCTGAGACTCTATAATCTCGTGCCATTGATGTATGATGTCTCTGAAACATGCGTACAGGATCTCAGTGTGGTCATTCACTTAACCTCACCTCGGCAAAACGGAGAGCCGACGAGATACACCTTCCGTGTATCTGGCGACTCGATGGCCAGTTCTCGTGGACTGGCAGGTGTAGGCATAACACTAAACATGAGGGCGGAACAAGCACTGTTAGAGTGGATCCCCGTCAACAGTAGTCTATGTGCTGTTCGGCTAAACGGCTCCGTAAGAACTCAGAAGGATAGGGACACACGTCATTGTCTTACTGTAGTTTCTACCTACATTCCCACTGTGTTATAACTCTGTGTTCTTCTTACGGTTAATGACCCAGCTATTCCTATTGCTTAGTATTCTCGGACACTGATTCACTCGACAAGTCCCCAAATCAGAACACGGTTGAACAGGAAAAAGATTATATTCCAAATAGCAAGTCAGAAGCCAGTAGGAAGCACAATAGAGAAAACGTCAGTATATTTATAGTTTTTACATGAGAAGATTCTAAAGTATTCTCCAACTATCGACTAGTGCTGATTGGATAAGAATTAGCCAATCAGAGTGCACCAAAGCAATCATGCATTGAGCTTGCTTTAAACTAGTCTATGTCCCGCTAACACCTCCCCTTTGAGCAGATTCGTAGGATCTGGTGCTAGGGTCCAACTGCAACTGAGTGACTGGCTTGTGATTTCGATTAGTTCATCGTCTAGGCAATAAAGAATTATCACTTTTTTTCTTGCACAGAGACTGACATGTCTGTTCCCGGCGTTTTGGTTTTTTTTTTTAAATAAAAGTATGCATAACTTTTAATTCTCCAACATTCTCCTCCTCCGCGAAACAATGTCGGATCCTTATATCTCCAAGTTACAAATAATAGGACTTTATTTAAACGATGCTTCTTGCATTGAATGTCGGATCCACTAGAAATGACTAGATGATAATGAACGACCTTTGATTTGAGGTCAGAGTTTAATTCTTCTGAAGCATTACTTTCAAATCCATTAGAAATTTCATCAGTGGATAATGGATCATTACGGAAATCAACATCTAACAAAATTAAATTAGACTTTTGACCATAATTTGACTCAGCCGACATATCTTCCTCATTTTTATAAGAAATTCCATCAAAATTACATGCATTATTCTGAGAACCCATATCTGATACATTGTCATTAGAAATCGGATAAGCTGATTCGGTATAAATTTCTGTCTCACAATGATTTCGAGTAACATTCAGTATATTTGGGTTTATCGTGTCACTGCCGTTATTTTCTGAATACGAGTCCCCATAGCTTTTTCGGCTAATATCACGTGGACCATAATTTTGTTCTAGCTGAAGTTTATTTTCAGAGCTAGACAGGACCAGTAGTGTTTCATTCAATTCTGGACTCCGGGCTTCATCTACAGGGTCTGGCTCTTGATCATCTCGTATTGCCACAACTTTATGAGCATTCCGCACAGTATTTTCTTTCTGTGAGCCGGACACGTTACAAATATTACGTTCTGATTCAGGTATAAAGGGATTTGAACCCTCCACTAGATATGCTTCTGAAATGTCTGTTACTGCATCATAAACAGATTTCTTATTTTCTGGTCGAGTGAAAAGTGTGCTCAATAGTTGTTGTTGCAAGGCTAACAACTTCTGCTGGTGCTGTAATATTAACCGCAACTGTTCTAAAGAAATCGCCATTTTTCTTTAGTTTTTCCCCGTCGCCACTGTTATAATCTCTTTGTTCTTCTTACGGTTAATGACCCAGCTATTCCTATTGCTTAGTATTCTCGGACACTGATTCACTCGACAAGTCCCCAAATCAGAACACGGTTGAACAGGAAAAAGATTATATTCCAAATAGCAAGTCAGAAGCCAGTAGGAAGCACAATAGAGAAAACGTCAGTATATTTATAGTTTTTACATGAGAAGATTCTAAAGTATTCTCCAACTATCGACTAGTGCTGATTGGATAAGAATTAGCCAATCAGAGTGCACCAAAGCAATCATGCATTGAGCTTGCTTTAAACTAGTCTATGTCCTGCTAACACACTGACTGCAGCTCAGATGAAGTGAAAGATGAATTTTACAGAAAGCTATCTAAACTTCTTCAGAAAGCTAAACGTTCAGACACAGTACTCGTAGCAGGTGACCTTAATGCCCAGATAGGTAGTTTAAACCAAACAGAAAGGCATTTAGGTGGGAATTTTAGTATTCCGGCACAACGAACAGATAATGGTGATCGTCTGCTGTAACTGTGCTCAGACAATCGTTTATTTTTAGCAAACACAAATTTTAACCATAAGGAGAGACATTGTCTAACATGGTGACCCCCTACACCAAACCAACGATGGACTCAAATAGACCATATTGCCATCAGTCATCGTTGGAGAGGGTCGGTAGAAAATTGTCGCTCATTCTAGAGTACCTGTTTGAACTCCGACCATGCCCTAATACAGGCACGCATCTGCTTACGCCTCACTGGACGCAAAAAAGTCACACTAAAAAGACCCATTAGAACTGAATTGAGTAGCGAGAAAACTAAAAATAGTTTCCGGGAGAAACTGAGGTCACACTTAGGCAGTCCTGAAAACGAGGCTGACTCAGATGTTGCTTGGAAAGATATAAAAGCAGCTGTGGAAACAGCAGTGACATCTGTTAGTTATTTGAACCAAAGTTACAAAAAACCAGTGGATTTCTTCGAGGTTTATTGCACCGATGGATTCTCGTAAACACATCCCATCAGGTTCTGAACGCGATGAAGAGCGAAAACAAATGAGGTCTAGGTTAAGCAGAAGTCTGAAGAACGACCGTCAGCAGTGGTGGGCAACGAAAGGTAAACAGATGGAAACGATGGGAGCTGTAGGTAACGCAAGACAGCTCTACAGACTAATAAAAGAAACTGGAATTAATAAGTCAAGTGTAAGTGAGACTATTTCGGAAAAAAAACAACACTCTCATGTGCTCCCAGTCCAGACGATTAGAACGATGGGCGGGACATTTTAAGGTGTTCAGCCGGCCTTCAGCTACTCTACAACTACCCACCATTCCCAGACAGCGTGGATGTAACATTGAAGTAGATCCCCCAACGCTAGCTGAAGTTCAGAAAGCTATAGCTAATCTGAAACGAGAAAGAGCAGCTGGCTCCAGAGGTCTTTAAGGATGGTGGTTCAATTTTAGTGATTAGGTTGACTAATATCTTAGCTAAAATCTAGGAGTTTTACGTAATCCTATCTGACTGATCACAATCACTGATTGTCTCAATATATAAAAAAAGGGATCGAAATCATCGTGTGATAATCATAGAAGGATTAGTTTGACTAATATAACATCTAAAATACTAGCCTCAATAATTATCGCACACCTAACTAAGACCATCTTAGTGTAATTTTAAAATTAAACTGACTTATATAATCAAATCTCAGTAATGATAATTTGTATTAGAACGTTGTATAATTACTGAAAACCAAAGTAAATAGAATTAGATTTGTACATTGAAACTGAATACATAAAATTCAATTGTATCAAATTCAATAATCCAATGAATAATTCAACAACATATAAGAAAACTTACCTCATTTAACATTGAATACAATTGAGTATTAGAGTTTTTAAGACGATGCCCTTCATCAATAATGACATAGTTCCAATAGAATGTTTTAAAAAATGCTTCATCATTAATACAAATCTATTTATCAATATAAATGAAATGAAATATGATACCTCGTAAGTAGTTAACAGAATTTTAATTGATTTATTATAATTAGATCGTAAGTTAGAACGTGTTACTTTATCACCGATATAAGTCATGAATGAAATATTAGGAGCAATACTAAAAATTGATGAAATGAAAAAAGAATCTATACAAACTTTTGAAGTTCACATCTCCAATTTTCTATAACAGAAAGTGGAGATACAATTAAAAAAGTAGCATTAGATTTCCAATTACTGATAGCTAAAATAAAACAAATAACCTTTATATAATTAATAAAATAATTGCAATACAAACCTGACATGTTTTACCTAAACCCATTTCATCACATAATAGTCCACCATGATTTTGTAAATCACAATTTATTAACCAGTTAATTCCTTGTAGTTGATATTCACGAATGACGATTCCAGTTAAGCCAAATTCCACAAGTTTTTCAAATTCAATAGAACAGGTAGGGTTGACTAAACTTTCACAAGATTTTATCAAATAGTCCATTAAAAAGCGATATTCTGAAAAATCAAGTAGTAGGTACCGGGACGTGGAATGTACATAAAGTTTACAGAAACATTATTGAACAAATTTCAATTGCACGTCTAAAATGAAAAGGATAAAGATAAGTTACAACCAAACTACACAAAACATTTTATCAATAGATAATAACACAACTTCACCTGTAGTCTTTCCAGAGTTACTACCGATCACAAGCTCAGATAAAAGAGAGTTAGGAATGGGACTAACAACCCTATCCCTTAAAAAACAACCTTGCTAAAAAAACGCCTCCAGATGAAAATCATTTAAACCGTTTAAACTCTTCCCTGGGAATTGAAGGATCTTTAGTTACAAAAATTATGACAACTCATTGTTACATCCGGGATTCTCTGGGCCTATACCGCTTCTACAAACCAGAGACTGGGAAGACCAATAAAAAAGTCACGGAAATGTAGAGATACAACTTGGAGATTCACGGAATAAATGAGACCCAATGAACGGAAGCTGAACAGAAAAGATTAGATTCGGAAAAGATGCTGATGTACCCTCGTCATGAAGAAAACATGTTTCGCACACACAAAGACGTGCATCGATGCTGACCAAAGACGCATGAAAAGCACTTATAGAATAAGAATCTCTTGGATTCCGAATCGTCATAACATTCTTGAAAACAATAAGCGTTATTCAGTGTAATGCACCTACCAATGATAGCAACGACGATAATAAAGATCAATTTTAAGGGAGAATGCAATCGATCGTATAGAAGTGTCTAGGAAACGACCTGACCACTCTGGTGGGAAACCTAAATGCCAAAGTCGGAGTGGACAATAGAGGATATGAAAATATTATGGGAAACATTGACTGGGAGAAAAGAACAAGAATGGCGAAATACTTTCATATCTCTGTGCCTTCAAGATATACAAAAAGCTACGTGGGTCTCACCGCGTCACACTACAGAGGACCACATCGATCATATTGGCATCGCTGAAAAATTCAGAAAGACAATGAAAGATGCGAGAACCAGGAGAGGGGCTGACACATTCAGATCATCACCTGGTGGTTGCCAAGATGAAATTGAAGCCAAAGAAACACTGCACAGTTGGAGAAATAGCAGTGATAAGGTTCGATACAGCTTTCCTACGAGATACCAACAAACTCAACCAATTTAAGATAACTTTCAACAACAGGTTCCAAGCCTCACAACATCTACTTGAAGAAGAGAAAACTACTATGGAGGACAAGTGCAAAGGGATCAAAGAAGCACTAACTTCAAAGCGTCAGGAAGTTCTGTGCTACAAGAAGCATCATTATAAGGAATGGATCTCTATGGGAACCTTGGACAAGATTCAAGAAAGGAAGAACATGTAAAAAGCAATTAACAACAGCCAGCCGAACAAGTGCAGAGAAAGTCAAAGCACAGGTCAAATACACCGAAGCAAACAAGCAAGTGAAGAAAAGCATCAGAACCAACAAGTAGAGATAAGCAAGGGACCTAGTAGCGACAGTGAATAAAGCTGAGAGAAGGAAATATGAAACAACTACATGACACAACGAAGAAACTGGCAAGGAAATATAATCAACCAGAGAGACCAGTCATAAACAAAGAAGATGAGACAATCACCGAGACTCAAGAACAGAAGAAAAGATGAGAACACTTCAAGGAACTCTTGGATACACCTGCTTCATTGGACCGATGTATATACGTGCCTGGTCCTATGTTGTAGCTGACTGACAGATGCATTTCAAGTGACAGTTGGTATCAGATAAAGATCTTTACTCTAGCCCTTACACTTTCTCCTGGTGTTTGACTGGGTTATAAATACCACCCCCCACCACAAGCGAAGTACATTATACAGTGGACAACTTGAATACAGCTAAAAGATTTGGACTTCGCATATGACCTAGTTGTCTAAGCATGGTACTCGACCCCTTGACCGGGTACCATCAGAAACAACTTATTATGGCAGAGAACGAACCAACTCCCATCTGAAAAGAGAATTAGGAAAAGAAGCTGGAGATGGGTGGGACGAATCTAAAGGAAATTATCAAGCCGAATTACGAGGCAAAACCTAACTCGGAGTCGAGGCAACAGAAAGACCAAAGAACATAATGAGCCAGGAATTGAAAGACGTCAAAATAACAAATAACAACTGGAAACAAATGGGAAGAGACCAGTACATAGTACATCAGAGATTGTTAGTCGGCAGCATATGCTATATGAGAGGTAACAGGTGTAAGTAAACAATAACACAGCTACGAACCTGAGCCAAAAAAAATGGTTCAATCGCTAGTACTAACTAAATCGAGTTTCGTAAGTTAAATAGCAAACGAATCAAAACATGGAAAACAAGAAAAGTGACATTAAGAGTATGAGGAGATTAAAGTTAGACTCCATGTTAAGTAGTCCCAAATAATTCTACATTGACCAAATAAACACTTAAATTATCAGTGAGAATATAATTTATGGACGACCTTTGAGCGACGCTAAGGTGACCTTGCAAGTGTCTACCTACTTACCTATTAAGAGAGTAAAGAATACAGGAGTCTGGAGTACTGGTCGCGAATGGCAGAATGCTGAGACCATTCGCTGTAACAGCCTATTAACATCAGTAGTTGGGACATGTAGCACTTATGTACAATGACCCACAAACTCGATTACAAGCGGTGGTTTAGGAAAAAGTAGGTTTGAAGAAAAAACAGGGAGATGAACAAAAGCATGGCATATAGCGATGAGACCAGTGATATTTGAGTTGAGAAATATTAGCTGACAATACACGAGACTAGTGACGTATTTGTAGACAACGAGTGACACATTAAGTCCGTTTTATCTTCACTTCCATCTGAACCCCAGGTTTCGGTATTCCATATATAACCATATTTGAAATCACGTGATTTCAAATTTTGATTAAATGCACATTCCTTATAGATAATACATCACCTGTCCCTTTTTTGCAGATAATTTCAAATAACAATGAATTAGCAATTGCAATGGATATGTAAAAAAAATCGATGCTTAAGCTTCTGCTCTAATGTTGTACAATAACACCCTTTTCCTTTTAAATAAAATTTCTCAAAAATATACCGGTTTTCCAGTGCATTACAAATTTATTTTGGTCTGTTGTTGAAAATAAAGGCGAACATAGGAGACCTTTGGGGTTATGTCAATGGATCGAAAATAGGTAGTTCTGCATGTATTTAGACGAAAAGTAGACAATTCAGCGGACATTTAGGCGAAAAGTAGAGAATTCAGCGGATATTTAGAAAATTAAACAATTCAGCGGACATTAAGGCGAAAAGTAGACAATTCGGCGGATAGTTCGGCGAAAAGTGAGTAATTTATCGACAAAGCGTCGAAAAAGGGGGAAATCCACATTATTTCCCCCGGGCAGGCGAAAAAGGCGACATTCTGGCACGTTTTGCCCTTTATTTCTCCTTTCCCTACCAAAGCATTTACCCCTTTATTTCCTCTTTGTTCGCCTTTATTTCCCCTTTTTTTGTTGTCTGGGCCTTCGTTTATATAATACATGTATTATATAAACATGGCTGCAGCCATGTTCATAGCGATAGAAAATAAAGTAATGAACTACTATCAGCATTTTGATGGTCAATAACAACACTTTTACAAAGTGTAGACTTTAGATTATTCGAAAATGAGGAATGAAGTCCCACGTACTATATTTACGTAGCCTCGACCTTCAAATGTCGAGAGGACCGCGAAGTCTCTGGGCCGTTCGAATATCCAATAACTCGAAATCTGACCAGAATAGCCTGCCTGATTTATTTGCATTTTCTTTGTTCCTTTTTGATAAAGTTACAGACTTTAGATCATAAAGGCTGCTTTGAAGACCTCTTTCACAAACGCAATAGTTACAGTCAGTTCGGTAATAATAATAATAATAATATGAGAGGATATGTTTACTCTGTAATCTAAGTGTGTTCGTTTCAGAGAGTACTAGTTTATGAAAATAGGAGCTGAGACGTGCTTTTACGTAAAGTCTTTGTTCTTAAATGTCATTTGTTATCTAGGAAAGTTCTTCGGGTTGCTATTGATAGGCCGTTTGTCGTGGGACTAAAGAAATTAAAAATCGTCAATGTAGGAACTTCTTGTTGGACCATAAAAAAACACTTGTAAAACTCTTCAGATTCGAAAAGAATCAACGTCACCTACACAGATTTACTGGTAGCTCGAGAACTTTATCATTTCGTTAGTTTCATCAAAGCTTTTAACTAGAGGATTGAGATATGCTTGAAGTCGAATTTCAAAAGACAAAGATTTGTATGAAAAACCGGTTAATTTTTTGTGGAATAGACGCAGAATTGTTACAAACCTCAACTTTAGAGTTGACGTGTGTGTGTCGGCTAACGCTTCTGTGGGTCTGTAAATAGAAAGCTTTCCTTTATTGTATACATAACGAGTAATTATAACATACGTTAAGTTAAATAAGAGTGTTATTAAGCGCAACTCAATTTCGTAAATGTGGCTTTTAGTTTAGCAACCAATCAGAATGGGGCGGGAATCATTATATCCGCCATCTTCGTAAGCAATGACGGTCGGCTTTCTTCATTCTGCGCTTTTTTCAGCTATTTCTTTTATGTAGCTATGTAATCTAATGTTTACTTACTTACGCCTGTTACTCCTAGTGGAGCATAGGCCGCCGACCAGCATTCTCCAACCCACTCTGTCCTGGGCCTTCATTTCTAGTTCCATCCAATTCTTGTTCATTTTTCCCATGTATGTCTCCATTTCTCGGCGTAATGTTTTCTTTCGTCTTCCTCTTCTCCTTTGACATTCAGGATTCCATGTGAGGGCTTGTCTTGTGACGCAGTTGGGTGCTTTCCTCAATGTGTGTCCTACTCACTTCCAGCGCTTCTTCCCGATTTCTTCCTCCGCTGGGATCTGGTTTGTTCTCTCCCACAGTACAATGTTGCTAATAGTGTCCGGCCAATGGATCTGAAATATTTTGCGTAGACAACTGTTAATAAACACCTGTATCTTCTGGATGATG